TATATATACAATATTGCATTGCACGAAAGTAGGCCTACATAATTGAAATAGGCCTATCTATATTCGGATTAAATTTGAAAAAAAAAATCGTAAATAAAATATTTTGTAATTCCGAAAATAACAATTGTGAGGCCATAATTAATTCTACTACATTTCGTTCTTTATTTGAACATCGGCAAGACAATTGCTAAACTAAAACTGAGCTCACGTTTTATGACACGGTGCGCTCTTGCTCACTGTACGGGTATAATGTATAACGATTTTAGCTCGTGAACCTAAAATAATGTCTAAATATGTTCTTGAAATCCTAAAGGTAAGCGAAAAATAATATTCATGTATAAAAGAAAATATTCAGAAAGTGTTTTATTATTATTTCATTATATTTTATGTCTGCTATGCTTGTAATTATTTTGCCTTGTTTGTAAGACGACTGTGTGTTTCAGTTTTGAAAATATATAGTCTAATCTAGTCTCTAGAGAATTTATGTAATTTTTATACTCCCAATGCGATTCCCTGCTCAGGACTTGAATACTATTTTAAATAAAAAGTGATTTACGCTTTCAAGTCCTCTCATGGTTTTAAAATTTGCGCGAAAATTAAGAAGAATTTTATTGAGGGCGCTCATACACCACGTGGGAGTCTCTCTTCGCGGTTGTTTACATATTATTTGCGTTGAAGATCCGTTCCGCTACATTGGTCAGAATAAACACAAAATCTGAAGTGCCAATGATGACCAACTCTGATGCGAATACCGAGGAAATTGATAAGGAGAAAAATGAAGAAGAGACTAACAAAGTTCCATCGAAAAAGAGAAGTATGTTTAGATAGTTCATATGGCTAATATCCGTTATTTTGTGAAGATGATTTGCAGGTCCAATATGGCACCACGCCCTGTCGATTTAGCGCGCAGTTATCGTTTCTAGGCCTTCTTACTCGGGTTCTCTGGTTTTCGCCTACATCTCTGCTCATGAAAATGAATTCTTATAATATCCAAAATTCAGCCTTTATCGTGTTCTACTGATATTCATAATTCCTTAGCGTGCATCTACTAATAATTACTAAATGTCTGTTTAAGTATTCATTCATATTCAGACACGGAATGAATGGAGGATGAGGTGCGTTGATAAACACGGCATGTGTGTCGATGGTCGGGTGGATGAGTCTACCAACGTGCAGACGCTCAGCAGCACATCTAGCCTACCTAGGCCTAATTTAATGTAGAAGAGGTAGGCCTAGCTAGCCTAGGCCTAGACTTAACGTCCAGAAGAGGATTTGAAACAAACATGATGAAATTGTTTTCTCGTACAGTATTTCAATGTTGTTTCATGCATAGGATAGGCCTATTCTGGTAAATAAAATAATTAGGGCACATAGGCCTATAGAAAAAATTATTAGATATCACTCTTTTTATTTTAAAAATTGATGAGGGAGGGCAGTGTTTTTTTTTTTTTTTAATTGGTACAATAAATTATTTCGCTTTTGTTTTTATCGTTTTATCGATGAGGGAGGGACTGTTTATATTTGGCCTGTACCTGGGCTTGTAATAGTAAATATTGTATAAAAACTGAAAGTAAACTTAAAGAAAATGTATTTGAAGTCACAAAATTGCATTGTTATTTTATGCTGTTGAAATAATTGATGCGGCAAAAAAATTATTTATTTTTATTCCCGCATTAATATTTCCCCGAATTTTTGACGCGGGCGGGAGTGATAATCTAATCAATTTTCTATTTGCCGTTATGTTATGTCAGTCTAGCCGCTGCCTATTGTAGTTTTGTTACATAAATTATATAGCAGTATAGATAGTAATAAGCCTGCTCGGGTCTATACAAGTTAAGTAGACCTAGGCCTACAGTATTTTTTGCCTAAATTACTTCAAATTTGGGAAAACTTGTAGTCCAGTAATTAGACTAGATTTCATATTCGATAAATTAAGAATTTTAACCACCAGGGAAAATTAAAAAATATATGGGTAGAAAATAGAAATGTGTTTAATCCATTAGTCGTATATATGAAGACTTAATTTGTTTTATTTAGTGTAAGTATTTGAAATTTTCGTAATTTACTTATTTTATTTATTTATTTTTTATTTTAAGCTTGATATCTAGCCTTATTTTTTTGCACTTCATCCATAATTTATATAATACAATTTAATTAATAATAGGTATTGTACTGTAAAGTTTTTAAATTGCACAGATGATACCTCAAAAACTAGCTTAAATTTGTATGGAAAATCGCTAGAAAAATATTTGCGCAGAATCGTAACTACAGCATAATACATTATTATATTAAGATTACGTCAAAGCCTAATTTTCGCCAGAATCTGTGCGGAAATCGACCCTTAATTACTGGAATTCGAGGATGGATTTCTAGCTTTACTATACAGTCTGGTGGAGGACCATGTCCAATAAACATTAGCCTTTGCTTTTTGAAAATGTTTTACATGTCTTAAACAGAACACATTAAAGTTACATTAACATATTTATAAGACTGGAATATTCTAAAAGATATTGGTTGATGTTTATTAAAATAGGATGACTTACAGTACTTTCTAGCTGCTTCCAGCTGTGTAAATATAATTTCTATTGACATCATATTTATACTGTAGTTTATAATAATCGCATGCATTGTTATGCACATGGACTGTGTGTAAATTGTATATCTCCATTTGTAGTTTTTATGATAATGTTGAATAAAATATATTTTTTGTAGAATAACAATCACCAACACCAGCATTATGCATGGAAAACATATTGCATAGCAGTACTAGTTCAGCTCCCAGTTGAAAAAGGGCTTCAATCCAACGCTTTAGTCACTGTTTTGTTTGTGCTTGTCCCTCTTCCAACACTCGGAAGCATTTAAAATGGACACTCAACTTTATTCATGACACTTATTATGGTCTCAAGAAAGTCCTATGACCAGCTATAATTATCAGTTCATCATCTTTCTTCACAATTAAAAATTCACTTTAATAAACATAGTTTGATGAATGAAGTGTTTATTGTCTAGATTTATTATTGATAATTCATTTAATTTTACCAATAACAGTATATTATATAGAAAAATTTTTATATTTCTATTAATACCATTTTTTTTTTCTTTTCTTTTTATAGAGGCCGATACTGTTGGAGTGAACCAACTTGGAGGGTCGTATGCAAATGGCCGACCTTTGCCCCCAAGCATTCGACAGCATATTGTAGAACTTGCCCAGCAAGGCGTGCGACCATGCGATATATCACGTCAACTGAAGGTATCTCATGGATGTGTCAGTAAGATTTTAGTAAGGTGAGTGACATGTACAAGAACTATTAAAAAATATGTAAAATTTAAAAATAATTAGTTTGTTAATTAGTATAAATTTCTTAAATGTTTGCATATATGTAAGTAAAGGTTAATGGTAATTTAATTGTCGGTGTCATTGAGGTTATTCTGGCCTACCGTAAATCCTCGAATAGCAGGTTGCCTGGGTACAAAATTAAAATTTGTTTCATACTCGCCTGATTGGGCGAGTGACTACAATTTCACTCGCCCAAAATTTTATCGATGTTGGGCTTCAGTGGTGGCGCCATCAAGGTGCAAGCAAGAAATTTCCCCCTCCTCTGGACAAGGACCGACCCCCATTGTCCAATGCCATGATGAGGTCGTTGGCCCATAAATAATAATTTGCTTGTTCAAATAACGTTGACTTAAATTGCTAATCATAATGTTGTGGTCTAAAAAAGCCAAATTTGGGCCATAATATGGCATAAAAACCCTCCCTGTGAACTCCAAGGGAGTTTTATTCTGGGACCCACACTGAGGCTCATTTGGATCCCCTGTCAGAGATGTCCAGAAAAATAGATGAGTTATTTTATGGCATTGACCAATCATCATTTAGTCCTACCACACATCAATACATGTGATGAACTTTATACTGTATATTGATTGGTTCAGTGCTAGAATTTAAAATGTAATAATACATCATGTTAAAAACATGGGTAATAATTAGACCTCCCCCCCCCCCCCAATCACACTGCATGTTTTTGATCATGTTCACTTTATTTCTCATTTTATGAGGATTTGAATGAGCTTTACTGTTAGAGTTTCATTAAAGTAAGTTGAATAAATAAATACGTAATTTCATTTTATCTTCCTTTATAGAAATTAACTGAATCAATATTTTGTTTGTTTAGACAATTTAAGCTATTTCGTGAACTGCATATGCCCGTATCCAAGGCCAATCGACATAAATCTATGTTGTGTATGTTTAGGCCCTATAAAAAATATTATTAGTTTATCACCCTATCTGGGCAGGAAAAGTGATGAGGGAGGGAGGCTTTTTTTTTAAATTTTTTATTTTGCTAAAGCCAAATATAACCCTTGGTTTGTTTGCTGGTGCATTGATATTTAATAAAATAAATGAAAAAAAAAATAAATAAAATTAAAAAAAAAATTTCAAAAAATTTATTTTTTTCCCCAGTATCATAGAAGGATTAACCTCAGTATGGGCATGTTCACTTCAGACTACGAAATGGTTTATTCGATGAAGTGTCTTCTTCCTAAGTTCATTCCATGGAAATAAAGATAAAATTATTTAAAAATTACATTATTTTAAAAAGAACAGATATTTTTACTTGCCAAAAAATATAATATATCACCATTTAATTTCGTTATTTTTAATGTTGATATTCTTTTGTAATTAACAAATTCATTTTCAACAATAGGCTAATTTAGATGGATATTTAACTTTAATTGGCATGGAATTCACTGTAAACTTGTACAGTATTTAACAAATAATATAATTTATCGATAATTTTATATGGTTATTAATAATTCCAATTGATTTACTGAACAAGGTAAATGTTATTAACTTTTCTTCTTTATATAAAACAATGTGTTGTAAATAATAAAATGCATGATGGTATTGTTATGCAAGGATAAAAAAAATGAGTTGACACAATGTGGGTCAAATAGTTCATAATGAAATTTCTTCATGAAATATTGAATCTTTTTATTATTGAAAATTCACACTATATAATGATTATTTATAGGATTTTATATTATTTCCCTCAAGAGTTGGTACGATCACATGAAAAGATGACAATTACTGCATAATTCACTGTGATCAAAACAATTTTTTTTATAGATTCCCTATGTTTGATGGCTTATAAAGGATGCATAATGGTGATGATGTCAGTGTTCAAAGATTGAGGTGATGGTGGTAATGACAATGATGGTAGTGTTAAGATGGAGAAGATGGTGGAGATGATGGTAGTGTTATGAAGGATAAGATGGTGGAGATGATGGTAGTGTTAGGATTGATATGATGGTAGTGTTAGGATGGAAAAGATGGTTGAGATAATGGTAATGTTAGGATGGAGAAGATGGTGGAGATGATGGTAGTGTTATGAAGGAGAAGATGGTGGAGATGATGGTAGTGTTAGAATAGAGGTAATGGAGGAGATGATGGTAGTGTTAGGATGGAGAAGATGATAGTGATGAAAATGATGGTAGTGTTAGGATTGAGATGATGGTGTAGGTGACGGTAGTGTTATTATTGAGATAATGGTGGTAGCGATGATAGTAGTGTTAGGATGGAGATGATGAAAATGATGGTAGTGTTAGGATTGGGATGATGGTGGAGGTAACGGTAGTGTTAGGAATGAGATAACGGTGGAAATGTTGGTAGTGTTAGGATTGAAATGATGGTGAAAATGATGGTAGTGTTAGGATTTGATATGATGGTGGAGATGATGGTAGTGTTGGGATTGAGATAATGGTGGAGATGATGGTGGAAATGATGGTAGTGTTAGGATTGAGATAACGGTAGAGATGTTGGCAGTGTTAGGATTGAAATGATGGTGAAGATGATGGTAGTGTTGGGATTGAGATGATGGTGGAAATGATGGTAGTGTTAGGATAGAGATGATGGTAATGAAATGATAGTGGTTAGGATGGAGATGATGGTAGTGATGAAAATGATTGTAGTGTTAGCATGGAAATGATGGTGGAGATAATGGTAGTGTTAGGATTGAGATAATGGTAGAGATGATGGTAGTGTTAGGATTGAGATGATGGTGGAGATAATGGTAGTGTTAGGATTGAGATGATGGTGGAGATAATGGTAGTATTATGGTGAAGATGATGATATCAGGGATGGTAGTGTTAGGATGGAGAGGATGGTAATGAAAATGACAGTTGTTAGGATGGAGATGATGATATTGATGACAATATGATGGTTAGTTAGGATTGAGGTGATGGTAGTGTTAGGATAGAGATGATTGTGGTGATATTAATGAAGGTAGAGCTAAGGATGGAGCTGTTAATGGTGATAGCAATGAAGTTTTTGATAATTAAATTGTGGATTGTTTTAGATGATGAAGTTGATGATAATTAAGACAGAGTTAAGATGAAGAGGATTAATAAATTTGATATTGTAACCATTTATTTTATGTGGTAAAAGGATATAGGAGAGACTGGTTGGTATTGAACCATAGCATTAGGCATGACCATAGTACAAAGAACACAATCATAATACTGATGATGGGTAAGAAAAGATTAATTTTGTTGATAATAACGATGATTAAGAGAAAGCTGAAAACGATTATCTAGATGATTGTGAATGGTACAGCAGAGGAAAATATGATGATGGATATGAATTTGATATCTAATGGGGAAATTATAGAGGTTGGAAGATAATGATGATGTTGCCTTGATAACATTACAAAAATGTTTTAAATATACAATATATTTTTGTAATAATCGCCAACCAAACTGCCTACAGTACAGTATTCTGTCTCACATTCAACAGTTGTACACTCAATTAATTTAAATGTGCAGTTTTGTACATTATATTTCATGGCCCCCATAAAACATGGAAACATGAGAGGGGACTGCCATTATAACCCTTAAGTTTAATGATCAATATATTACCGGTATTCTAGGAATCATTGCAATTGTGGTAATTGCCGTACATTACTCAACACGCCAATTAAATCATAGCTGCTTCAATATTTCTAGGCCTCTTATTGTTTATATTATTATTATTATTATTATTATTATTATTATTATTATTGTTATTATTATTATTATTATCACTGATGATATTGATAATAAAGGTCTGTCCACATTATCAAATTTTAAGTGAAAAATTTGTGTGATATGCCTATATCATGATGTCCAAATGTGGCAAAAACAAGCCAAACCAGTCACTCGTCGCAAAAATCGATTTGAAGTCATTAACACAGGGTTAAAGATGAAAATGAGAGCTATAAAATGATAAAAGAATCATTGAAATCTGACATTTCCTTATGAAGTTACAAGTGTTTAAACATACAGAAGTTTAAAGAAACAATATTTGAGAAATTCCTTCAAAGTTTTATGATTTAGGGCATTTCTCAGGCAGACACCCCATCACCAAGTTGATAAAAATTGTTGTTTTAACATTGAAAATAGGGGGAAAAAATAGCATATTTTGATGTATACAGCATATAAAGGTTAGTTTAGTGCAATCAAAATGATAAAAAAAAATTTGACATTTCAGCATGTTTCCCTATTATCTCTGAAACACGATTTGCGACGAGTGACTGGTTTGGCTTGTCTTTGCCACAGCAAACTTTGTGCTGGTTGTTGCCCTTGTTTTTTTGTGTGTCATCATTTCGCTATTGGAGCATTTGTTTTTTACAGTGACCCTGCCCTGGCATACCACTGACCCATCACCCTAGGGAAAAGGGTGGGTGCACGTTGGTTCCTCCATGAACTCATCAACAACAGTGTTATATTATCCAAAATATAGTTTTGACAAAATGCTCAATAACAAATTATTTCATTATACGGAAGTAATTATTAGGAAAAATTAAAATAAAAAGTGCTTTGTAACCTATTGGGAAAAAGGCGCTTTATTAATGCCATTATTATTACTATAAATTACTTAGATTTTTAAGTTAAGAAATTGAGATTAATGAAGTTATTTTTAGGATAGTTCATTACTTTTTTTCATATTCTTTAAGTGCTTTGAGACAATTTTTAATTGTGTAAGGCGCTACAAATCGATTTCATCCATTCCATTTACTTGTTAACCAAGTTTAACCAACAAATGACCGTAGCCTTTGACCTTAAAATTGTTATTAATATCAAAGATCAGTCAAATTTTATAACATTTAAATTTTATTTAAATTTGCCATTCAATTTTTATTAATTCATAAACATGTTTAATATTTTATAATAATTCTATATTAAATACTGTAAATTTATATTTTATTATCAAAAAATATTTATATAAAAAGTAGTCTCCAGCAGGAATGACAAAATGTGCAAATTCTTATTACAGATATTATGAAACCGGGTCAATAAAGCCTGGAGTCATAGGAGGTAGCAAACCCAAAGTGGCCACACCAGAAGTCGTCAACAAAATTGGAAATTACAAAATTGAAAACCCGACGATATTTGCTTGGGAAATACGGGAACAGCTGCTGAAGGAGAAGATATGTACAACAGAAAATGTACCAAGTGTTAGCTCAATAAACAGGTAAAACCCATAAGTTTTCAGCCATTTATTAAGATTTGTCTGTGTTAAGAGCTAAAAATACAGTTAACTATTTGAATAGCTTAATTTGTATTACAATATTTTAGCTTTACATTTGAAAATTAGACTAGCAAGTACTTTCTTTACCTATTATCATCCACAGTAGGCATCAATACTAAATATTCCTTCTTTCACAGACCCTTCAGTTGACTGGAAATAATTAAATTACTTGCTGAAAAGAAAAAATTCTGATTATTTTGAGGTTTTAATCTACAGTACCACAAGACAGTCTTATTTAGTGAAGAAGATTATTCTGTCTGTGGTGATGCTCCACTTACAAGGAATAGATAAACAAATCCAAACACGAAAAGCTCTAAGCAGACAATGAGGGAACTTAATTAAACTTTCCAACACACATTCCTATCTTATGGCCAAAAGAAATGAGCCATTCCAAATTTTCTTACTCATATTTTTATTTTTAATAGGCTTACCCTATATAAAATCTTAATTATGTGGTACTATTACTATTCATCCCACAAACCTGTATATATTATTTTTTTATGTACTACACTACAATCATTAAAAAAAAAAACAATATTGTGTTCACCAAACTCAGTGTTATTGTCCAGTTAATGTATGTATTGTATCTATTGAGTCAATTTTGTTGAAATTCTCACACAGTTATCAATGAATATTTTTTGCATTGATTTAATGCAAGATTTCCTTCACATATTATTACATAATAATCTAGAGGTAAAGTATAAATTTTCATGCACGCCATACAAAATTGGAAACACTGATGAAATATGGCAATACAGTGTGTCACAAACAGTTAATCATTATTTTTGCAATCCGATGTAAGTTTATTTGGCAGTCTTTTGATTAATTTTTCGTTGATGAAGGCGGTGAATTAGTTTTGCAATACTTATTTGTACTGATTATACACAATTTTTAATTAATTTTTGTATATATTTTTTGGCTTGTTAATATTTCTGGCTTATATTTATGTAAACTAGGTTTTCTGTACTTTGCAGCTGTGTGTATCAATTCATATATTTTTGGATATTAGCCGTGTAAAAAAAAGTTGTTGATCTTTCCTTCCCTACTTAAATCAATCACCCAACCAATGTTTTTTTTTTTTTGCCAAAACTCACGAAAGTATTGTCTTTACACAACTTTGGCTAAGCCTAGCTCTAGCTTTTTTTTTGTGAAATTATTTGGTCTTTTAATTGTTTGTTCGTATAAATTCCACCTGATCAAATGCTACACTGGAAGATCCGACAAAGTCATTTACATGAGGCCTTGCGCTCCTTGGAGGGTTTGAACACTTGGCATGTATCAATGGGGTGGTTTCATTATTGATTAAAAAAAAAACAAAACAAAAAAAACCTCCCTCTCTACCAACTTAAAAAAAAAAAATAGACGATCAACAACTCTGTAACTATAATTTGACCGTAATACTGTACAATAGTGTACAATAAGTAGTGAAAAAGTTTAACTAACTGTACATATTGTGCCTACATGCAGCACAACACTACAGTTGAATAGAATAATAACTCAACCTGTTGGCAAGCTTTAAGTAACAAACTTTAATATTTGAATAACCTGTTTTATGTTTTAATATTATTTACATTATTTTGTTATTGCAATCACTACAACATGGATAATAATCTTGTCTTCTCATCAGTAAAAACTATAAAGTTATTACAGTAGCTTTCACTACTAATTAAGAAATGCATTAATAATACCATTCCTATTTCATTTTAGACACTTACTTTTGCCGATAATATAACAAAACAATTTTTTTTTCTATGCCACATTGTTGAAAGTTGAAGTTATTAATACTTTTAAATAAGCAATCAAATGTTTTAATTGCATTTTTAAATGGTTTTTCCTTTATTCTCATTTAACAGATATTTTTTACAAATAAATTTGTAAAATTTATGTCGGATTCAACAGTACTGTTATTGTATCACATAACATTCCATAATGATATTTGTACCACCGTATGCAGATTTTTTTTACATTTTAATGTCAACACCATGATTTGTTTTAATATGGGTTTTGTTTCATTCAAGTACATAGCTATGTGATCGTTCTTAACATACTACATGTACTACATTCCACATATATTACACTTTCATGCCTCAACTGAAAACTGTAACCTCTGATTCTTCTTAGAATACTAAGGGGTAAGGTCGTTGGGGGAGAAGAAACTTCCGGGCAAGTCGGAACATCGGCTATTCAGACCAGCAAAGACCAAAACATTCTCGGAAGCAGCACTGGAATGACAGTGAATGCCCTAGCCCACATGAGCCAAGACGAGGCAAAGAAGTACGCAAGTCTTCTTGCGGCCATGAGTATGAACATCAACCCACAAAGCTTTCAGCAGCAGCAACAGGTGAATAATGGCGCGGTGAACATTGTACCGTCGCCATACTCGATTCACAGTCTGCTCGGCATCCAAGGCCAACAAATTAAGCAAGAGCCGTCTGAAGGTGAGAGATCATTACTTAATTTGCATGTTTTTTAGTACTGTTACAATATTTATATTTACATGATATTATAACAAATATGACTACAAACACAACACAGTTCAATGGGGACTATTGATGCTTGGAGACAATGAAAATAATTAAAAATGTTAATGTAAGGCCACATAGAATAATTCATATTTCTCATTTGGTCTTGGAGGATGTGAACTATTTTGTTTATTTCCTTCTTTAAATGGTCACTGCATTTACACAGTTGTAAGATGAATTGTGGAATTATACTTTTACACAAGCATGGCAAACAATCCATTGAAATAGTTCACTGCACAAAATTGATTATTAATACAAATTAAAATATTGATAGATAAATACAATAGTATAAATTTTAGTTCATCTGTAGTGATTATTTATAAAATATTATAAAGTGTACCATTTGTGTCACTGGGGTAATGTAATAAGCTGCCTAGGTTTTTCCTACAGTAAACTGTCAGTTTATAATGTTCTTGTTTTTTTGGAAGTAATAATAGTTGTCCTATTTAGTTAAGTTCACTGAGATTTTTAACAATTATAGATCAATAGCTGTGCTTGTAAGTATGTTTTTATATTCTGAATAATAACCTTACTCAGTGAGGTCCATTATAGTTGTGGCACACTTAGCAACTGGATACTGAGCTTAGCAACTAGATACCAAGCTGATTAAAACAACAATGCAAACGAGAATAACTTAATTTGCACGGTTGAATAATCTTGACCTTTTTCCTGTTCCTAGTTCCTTGTTTTTTTCACCAGTAGTTCCTCTTTGCTCAACAAATACTTATTAATTTTTATATCCACGCACTGTCAATAACAATGCTTCCTCTTATTATCAGCCTAAGTTTCTGTTATTAAAAAATTGTATTCTACAGAGAAGACTGAACTCTAGACTTGGAAAGAACCAAGGTTGGGTAGCCCTGCCCACCTCTGGCCCACCATAACTACATCCAATAAAATTGATTTATAGTTTGATGGTTTTCATTTCTGAGTTCTATTTAAAAGAAATACAATATTTTTAAGTGTAAGTTGATTAAAATTGTTAAAAGAACAAATTTCAACAAGGTGATAATACAGTGTTGTAAAAGTTGCCAAAAATGAAGCAATACAGTACACAAAATTAAACTGTATAATTCAAATGATCAAAAGATCAGTGATACACAATTACAGTATATATATGTTATAAATGATTATTAGGTAAACTAATAATTAAGACAGCATTAGACTAGAAACTAATGAAATGGAGACAATGAATTAAACTAGAGTGCACTCTTGTAATTAGAACACTAAAAGAGTATATTTCATCTTACCCTTTGTATACAATACTTTTAAAATGCTTCCCCTGTATGGTAATCAATGAGAATACTATGGACGTTATTTATTTTACCTTAGCAACACGCATCAGCATTGAGGTAATATATTCGTTATTGACTTCCGTATTTCCATCAGGAGACTATAGTCAATAAAACCTGATGGTTTTTTTTTTTAACAGCCTGCGGCATATTGCGTCTTTGTATATTGTCCAAATTTTCATAGGTGTGTTTTACACTGAACATGAATGATATTTAACATAATGCACAAAAATCATTGGCATAATATTAAAGTACGTTTATATCGAATATTTTATTTCTCAAAAGCAGACGAGATTCTGTAATGAAAACTATCATGTCATGCTCTGCTGCAGATGTTTCAGCCACTATTACGAAGTGAATTCAATTCAAATTTGGTGTACACTACATATTGTTAGGCTTACTATGAATAATTCATGAAAACAGTGGTATCGTTTTAACAACATAGTACACATTCTAGCTAAAGCGGATTTAAATTTGTTTTTAATATGAAAAAGCTAGGATATTTATAATAATTAATGTCAACGAAAATTTTGTCTGGGAGAATCACGTTTTGGCCCAAAAACCTGATGTCCTTGAACCAAAATATGGTACATTAGAATCAGTCACTAGGGTGGTTGTGGGCTTTATTTTTACGTGATTAGTTTCCACTGAGCGAGTCCACTGATTCACTACAATAGACATTCTTGCTGTTGGGTTAATTAGCATGAAAAATCAAATTGAATATTTCAGTTGTTTACTTTGTGTATTAAAGCATTGTAATTTATTTACTTTCTTGAGAATTAAACAATTATGAGACAATATTTTGGTAAACCAGATGTATAAATATATTGATTTTGCATACTGTAGACCTTCAATTAGTCTGTAATCAATTTAAAGATGTATTGTCCCTTACTAATGTCAAAAAAATCATAAAAAATAATTTTGAAATAAACTTGCTCATATTGCAATAGCATACAAATTATTTACTTGTGCATAAAAATTATTGAATTTAAAAAATGTGTACCCTGATTTTTAAACCAAAAAGTGATTGGAAGTATTTCTATCATTTTTCGCTGTAAACTGATGGGTAGACATCTTTTACATGCACTAATTTCTATGTTCATGTTGATAACTTTTACGTTACTTCAAACCGGGCAAGTAAATTTCAAGAAAATATTTTTATGATTTTTTTTTGGTATTTAGCATGGAACAATACATTTTTTAGAATTTTTGTATTAAAAAGTCTGCTACTGTAATATTTTTAAAAAGTGTTCTGGTCTTTATCTTATTGGATAAGTTGATAACATTTTGATTCTTATAAATATTTAATTCAACTTTTTATTTTCAACAATTTTTCAGGTTTTACCATGCCTGCACTATTTTTTAAAAACCTTATTTTGTAAAAAAAAAACCCCACAATTAATAACTTAAACTTGATTGTTTCAAACTGGTAAAATATATTTGTTATTTCAGCAACATTTATTTCTTTCATCTTTTCTTTGATATATACACAGTAGAAAATAATTAAATTAAGTAATAATAATATAATAACTGTATAACCAATAGCAATTAATATTTTAACAATGAAAGAGGCAACAGCCCTGGAAATAAATTCGGTTTAAAGGTTCAACCAAAACTTGTGTTGAGCTAGCCAGATAATAAACAATGATAATAGTAAGTTTTAAAACACATAAAAATCAAAGAACAAAAAAGATAACAGACGAAAGTTAGGAAAGTAGGAAAAAAGGACGCATGACACGGAAGCACTGGTTAATAGCTGGACAGATTTATTGAGGAAAATTAATCATAAAAGGAGAAGAAATAAGTTTTTAATTTATTAAGAAATATAATCATTGAAGGGGAAGATGAAATTTCTTTAGGTAGCTTGTAAATAATTTTGATGCACTAGGTATACTGTATATTATGTTGAAGGAGTGTTATTTTGGGCTGGGGAAGATGGATTTCATTGGAGGTCCTGGTATTATAAGAATAGACTGAAGAATTATGAATATGGAAGAAGAGAATAAATATTTTTATAAAAAAAAAAAGGCATTGCTGAAGTTTATTAATGTCATAACGATTAACAGATTAGAAAATAACTTGTTACAATGGGCAAGATAATGTGCTCCGGAAATGTGACAGACAGCCTTTTTTTTTGAAGAAGATTAGCCCAGACAATATTGCTGTAACTAATATGGAAGAATAAGAGAGCAATAAATGTTACGATGAATATGTGATGATAAAAAAGAAATGAGACGATAAAGTATCCCTTGTTCTTTGAAATTTTGATTTCGATATCATTTATATGGTATTTATAATTTAGTTGATCATCAATTTCAACACCAAGAAACTTAGTATGTTTGACAATAGGTATTTTTGTGGTCACCAATAAGTATACTGTCATTAATGTTTTCAACCAATTTTGAATGACGAAAACCAAATAACATAAAATTGCATTTATTAACGTTAACAGAAAGTTAGTTAACATTAAAATAATCATGTTTGTTTTTCAATTCGTGATTAAAGGTGTCAGATAGATTTAAAATTAGTATTTCAATAGAAAATTGTATCATCTGCATAAAGATAAAAAGTAAGAATTGTGGAAGCATTAGGCAAGTAATTTATATAAATAAAGATGAAAAAGACATTAAAATTAGACATATGAAATAATAGACAAAAGGAAAACATAATGAAAAAAAGTAGATTACACGGTACATAAATTTGCAATGGATCAGAAGGTCTAATAAAATGAACTTGAACAAGTTGATCCTTCATAATTGGTATATTTCTGGTTATTTAGAAAAAATAAAACCAGTTCTTTTTAACTAAAATTAAGAAAGAAATAAAGAAAGATTATCTCCTCAGTAGGTACTGTATTATTTTGATAATTTTTCTCTCAACAAAATCTACCCTTATATCACTAAATTAGCTTGTACAGGTAGTGCTATAAGATTGTATTACTGATTAATTAGTTCCATCTAGTATCTTGTCCTTCTACTTCTGATCAAATAGTATTTTAGCCTAAAGGCAGAATTTTATCTACTGTAGGAACTATTGTTGAACTAGTTGTCTCATGAAATATTACAATAAAATTAGATGATTAATAAAAGAACATAATGGCAACCAAAATAATTAATGAGCTGGTATGATTACAGTAAAAAATTTAACCAATCATAAAGTCAATTGATCAATCAAGATTTTGTCCTCAATGACACATGCAATGTGGGAGTGGTTTTGTTTTGTTTGGATAATATCTTTTAAGATCATGGGTTCGTATTGCTAACTGTCCATTGTCCTAAAGTTATACCATCGGTTGTGACGTTAGTATACCCTATAAAAATCAATTTTATTCTAGTTTTAAGGATAAAAAATTATTTATTTACGGCGTATTCGTGAAAGCTCTTAAAAACCAAGAGTCCTAAGTCGAGCAGGCCTAGGCCCAAGGCTAGCTGACGCGATTATTTTAGGCTAGGCCCAGGTAGGCCTAGGCCAGAATTTGAGGAATGCAACAAAACAGATGAAGATGAGACTTACTGTAGGCCTAATTAAATTCAATAGTTGACATGCTTTGTTTTAGATTAAAAAATAATAATGAACAAATCCCGACGACAAAGCGTCGATCCGACTGTCAACTTCACATGCTTTGCGTGTGTGTGTGTGTGGCCGCAGTTGGGCCGGTGTTGTTGTGTTGTACCTTAGCTGCGTATTCATGGACGAATACATGGTTGTATTATGTTTTTAAAAAATGAGTGCGATGTTGAATATAGTATCTGTGAGTAGTACTACGGCTAGCAGACAAGAAAAGGCACGTGCTGATTGACGTTCTAATTGGAGTTCAGGGATTTCCTTGTTGTGTGCCACCTTCGTTGTCTCAGTTGTATTTTTTGTCTTTTACTGTGGTGTCATTGTTGACAGTTATTTAGTTATTTTTATTCAAGAGTAAAATTAAAACAAATATTTCTTTAATGCGTTTGTCTCTATTTTGTTACTTGTATCTTGCATATGCTGGAAACAAAAAAATAAATAGAGATAAAAGATAAAAGAATGTACCAATGTCAAATATTTTTAATGTATTTATTCATACATTAATTTCACGTTTGACGATTACCACGATGAATGTGTATGTCACTGATTCATGTGCACTCATTTATTTATTTGTCCATTTACACACATTATATATCAATTATAATTAAAAGTGAAAAACTTAAAATACAAAATTTAAAACAATTATGGACAATATAGAATGACATTAACAAAATGAAAACAAAGTAAAGAAATAAAACATAAATCAGGTTTCGTAAATTTTTAATAATCTTCCTGCCCCGGACCATGCTCTCATAATAAAACACTTGAATGGTCACGATTTCAACTTTAACCTTTGAATGTGTACAGCAACCATGTCATGCCGGCCCACGAAGTTCGCTATGACTCATCTGGGCCTAGGCTGTTAAGTTAGCGATGAATAGCAGGGCAGTGCAGTATTTTGTTACAATTAACGTAACCACGGAAACATTTATTGTATTCTTCTTGTCTTTATCAGGTTAGCTTGTCTATTGTGTTTAGGTAAACTAATTATTTTGTTACAATTTGTAAACTGTTGAAATAATAGTGGTGGTCGGGAGCCTGTAAGTCCTGGTTGGAAATGTTGAGTGCTGGACGGGCCTGTCCACCACCGACCGAATACAGAATGAAACAATGCAGTTTGCAGATGTATAAAATTGTTCTTCAAACATCTGTAAACATAAATTTCAATTGGAACTACCCAGTCAGTGATCAGATCTGACTAAACATTTTATGTTTGTTTGATTTCTGTTACAGATGAAAAAGCCACAGCTATCGCCATCACAGAAATGGCAGGGAAGGAAGTCAAGGAAAGTGGCGTGCCTGTGATCTCTGGCAAGTTTGATGCTGTGGAGAAGGCTTACCAGATCGCTACAAACAGCATCGGCGAAAGTGATATCTCTGCTTTGGCCAGCGTAGCAAGCCTTGTCAGCAATCTACAGGTATAGTACTGTGGTAATCTACCCGAAAAATGCATGTTAGTTTAGATACCAAATTGACACGTAAAGATTAATTAAAGCATCTAATTCAGTGGTAGTAATACAGTATGTTTAGTGGGCCTACTGGTTACATTTCTTATGTCTCAGGCAAAACTTATTTCTATCAAGGAGTGTAAGTGTAAACCATGGAATGAATTGTTTTGTGCCAAGTTATATCCATGGCTAGGAATATTCCCTAGAGATCCGAAGGCTGTCCCATGGCAAAAACAACGTAACTGTTAAATTTGTGGCGTTGTTTTGCCTTGGAATGGTCAGGAAGGAGGTTGCACATTGTGTATGATTGATATAAAAATATTGTGTACATCTACAAGAAGAAAAATACACACTCATAATACAGCACTAATCTGGTCTTTTAAGAACAATAAAAGCAACAATGAACAATAATAATTATAAATTTTAATACAATTTCTTATCTATTTAGGTACCAGTCACAGCTCAGAATATTGCAGTGCCTGTGATAACTCATGTTACGTCATTACAGAACCAACAAAATGCTAACATTCTCACCACAGATAAAGGAAGGGAGATTGTTGTACCTCTATCTTCAGGTAAATCATAGGAAATCTCTACACAAGATTTAATACTGTATTGATTTTTGTATGAGGCTTGAGAATAAATATTTAATTTATAGTGATTGAATTTAAAATATTAGCACCATGTTAAATATAGGATATATATATATATATAGCACCATGTTAAATATAGGATATATATACTTATGGCAGTATAACAGTACTGCTAAATAGGGTTATTGCATATACATGTAGAGCCTGTCCATAATAAACATAAATTTGTATTTTGAAATTTGTTCTACTTTGCAGTTCAGACAAGCTTGGCCAATGATAATGCAACTTTGACTGAATTACAGCCAGCTGAAGTGTTGACTCTGCAGGCACCCACTGTTCCACAATTACAAACAGTTTCTAAGCCTAACGAGACTGAGAAACCAGTCGTGCCAGGTAAGTTCTTCAAACTATTATTCTGTCAATTTTTGTCTTATGGACACATGCTGGGGGCTTTTCATTATTGTGTGTAGATTGGGTGTAAAAGTTATAAAATACACACTTTTTATTTTCAGTACTGTTAAGTATCACATATATATTTGTTTCAACTTCCTGGAGTAATAATGGTGTACATTGCTTGAACAAGACTAGGCTCACAAGTTTTGACTGATATTCAATCATACCCAACTGATCATATTTATTACCATATGTACTGTAGTAATCAAACATCTGTAGTGTAAACAGTGCCTTGAAGGTGGCAATGTTGTGTAGCAACACATTTTTCTTGTTATACAGATGAAGCTCATTATCTCTTGCTTTTTTAACACTTATCCAAAAACTTATGGCTTACCTATAGCTTTAGGCCATGATCCTACAATGTTTGTGTTCTACTAATTTTTTTAATGTCTTCCCACAGTTGCAGCATATACAAGTACGATTACACCTACTCCTGGATTTAGTGTTGCCTATCCGACATCAACAACACTGTCTAATGGAAATGTTAGCCTCTCCAGTACGCTGGTGTCTACCACGGCAGGTAAACAATTAAAACCCCTTTAATAGATTAAAATAGTATTGAATAGTGGAGATGATGCTTACAGTAGCAATGACTATAATATTAACCTTTATAATGCAGTACAGTAACATCTCCCAATTACGTACCACTCCGTCTGAACAGAGTTCGTAAATGAGAAAATTCATAATTCAGAGAGTTTGAATTTTCATTGCATCTCAGAGTGGTAGGATAGGCTTAGTTCAGTTGGAATTTTCATCGCATCTCAGAAAAGTGAGGCTAGGCCTATGCTAAAGGGCTAGATAGGCCTAAGGGCCATGAGAGCAAAATTTTGTCATCAAATATGACTTGGATTTTACTGTTTTCTGCAAAAAAATAATACTGTACAGAAGTCAAGGTTATATGTACTCACTGTGAAGTATTTATTTGAAGTGATTTCCGAAATAAATCATTAACATTAATGGCCAAAACAAGTGTTATATTCTCTTCATAAAGATCGCAAATCCATTTGAATAGCGCCCCCAATGAACAAAATGTGAGATTCCTGACTGAACAAGCATGCACAGCTCAAAATGGAATATATCGTGGCTAAAAACGATTGATGTTTCTTGCTTTAAACTTAGTTTTATTTCACTTTATTGGTTTAAATGTTTTCTTTCTTAGATGAATTAACACTTTATATTATTTTTGAAGATTTTTAAATACAGTTTTAAGTGTTTTTGTAGTTAAAAAACGATCGTAATGATGTCATTGCAGCAAATTGGGTTCATAAAATCGAGAGTTCGTAATTGGGAGAAGTTACAGTATTTATATAGTAATCTGAGGTACAGATAATTATTTTCCATGTCATTGGATACATAAAGAGCTATGATGTACTCTCTGGGAAGTATGCCTAGTTGTGCAAGTATACTCCTGGTTGGGTTAGACAAATATAGTGTCTTGTACAAGGACACAAGCAATGTGATCATTATCAAATCTGTACTTAGAACTCTGGTTGTTGGATACCCAAATCTTCAAACTTGTTTCTGCAAAGATACCACATTTTTAATGGGTAATATCTCAAGAAACAAATGATTTATTGACAATTCATAATTCAATAGTACAGTACATACTCTATTCAATGCACACTAGACCTCAGAATATGGTTTATGATTTGATGGTTATTTGATGTTCTATGTGAAACATGTTGATTTTAGTATTATTTATGTGTTGGTAAATTGCTATTAGTTTGTATTTTTCATCATAATTATTTTAATTCACTTTTCATTTTCTTCAGCTGACCAAACTGCACCACTTCCGTCAATGAGGGTGGCATTCCCTACATCAGTAGGTAGTACAGTCCAACTAGCTACGGTACCGACTCAGTTACCATCATCGATTGGACAGGCCACCATAATTCCTCAGCCGGGAACAACTATCCAGTCTGTTGCATCTTCTCAAGGCATTCCATTAGCATCTTTAGGACACACTGCAGTCCCTCTGCAAACTGTCACTTCATTACCAGGTTCCATTAGGTTTGCACCTGCTACCATCTCAGGACCGCAGATGGTTACTTATCAACAACTAGCTGCCATACAAGCTGCTCTACCACCAGGAACCATTGCAGCTCATGCTGCTACGTTGCAACCTCTTACAGCTCTCCCGCAAACATCGCTTTTGCAAACTGTCATCCCGCAGAATGCAGTGCCACAGGTATCAACCCTTCAACAGACTGTGGTAGCACAGAATACGGTAGCACAGAATACAGTGCCACAGACGTCAACCCTTCAGCAAACCGTGATACCGCAGAATACAGTGCCACAGGCAACAACCCTTCAGCAGGTTGTGATACCGCAGAATACAGTGCCGCAGACATCGACCCTTCAGCAGACAGTGTTACCGCAGAATGCTGTGCCTCAAACATCTACCCTTCAGCAGGTTGTGATACCACAGAATACGTTGCCACAGCCGTCGACCCTTCAGCAGGTAGTGGCACCACAGAACACAGTGCCACAGACTACTGTTACATTACCACAGACAGTTCCGATATCGGTTGCAACTCAAGCAATTATGCAAGGGGTTGGCACTCAACAGCAGGTGCCCCAGACTACAACTCAGCAGCAGAGTGTGGCAGCACATGTGATTGCAATATCGCGAGCAGTGGCAAACCCCGAGACCAATACCGAGACCAATCCCCAGACCACAATCAGTGAGACAGCACCTCAGCAACTTGTGACCACAACGGTTCCAGCTGTATCGACAGAAGTCGAGGTGCCGCAATCAGATACAAAAGTCCAAGAAGACGGAGCAACGATTCAGCAGCCATCAACTACTTCATCATAACAAAGGAAGTCATAGAAACAAGATATCAACATTACATAATGATTATCTGGATAAATCAAATTGTGTCCCTGTTTTCACTCTGTACCCAAAACTATTTTTGTTAAAGTAGAAGTGAATAATTTAATTTAAAATAAAGATTGCTCAATTTAATATCATCTCATAATGCAAGTGTAAGAAAAAGCAATAATATGCGAGGTTTCAGCCTAGCAAAAGTGTTACTTATTACAGCTTGACAAAATGGCTGAAAAAAAAAAAACCATTATGCAGAAGGTTCTTGCATTAGGCAATTTGTGTAACACACATTGGGTACAAGTAGCCAAATATATATATCTTAGGTTAGGATTTGTGAAAATAGTCTTTATAATATCTAATTTTGAAATTTTCACTCCATATCGTGCTATACAGTGTATTTCCCAGTATATGCATATTCGTGTTGTATATTTCTCTCATTTTGGTTGAGGTCTTGATAAATTTTTGGAAAAAAAAAGAAATATGATTGCTATCCTTGAACATGTAATCTGTATATTTTGGACTCTAATAACAGGAGTATGTTAAGTATGAAATTAATTCTTTTAATGAAAATCGATATCAAATTATTAAAAACTAAAAATAAATATTTAAAACCGATGAATGGTGTATTCATAACATGCTGGGAGAAGTTTGTAAAAACCGTTACAAGAATACTGGAGTACTAACCCCAAAGTATTTGATTCTCATAATATAAAAACCTCACACTTTATTGGGATATGGGAGCTCTAATTGGAATGGTCTTGCACACTCTTTAATGTGCGAGTTAAGGTTGCTGGGTTCACAATATTTCCTTGGCTTTTCATTTGAAAGAAAATGTGTGATGACATTTTTGATACACACCGTATGTGACAATCCTCCAAGAGTTTCAACATTTTGGAGGCGAAAATACACAAATGGTTTCTGGCATCTTCAGTAGTTAGCTTTCTGGTTTTTCTATTTGTTGTACAAATCAATCTTCAATATAAATAAAATTCAAACTATTGCCCAAGGTTTTAAAATATTTAACCACTTGCATGGAATTCTTGAATGAAATTTTTCTATGTGATTGCATCATTTATGTAAGATTTGATGTTTTTTTTTTTTTTGTGAATTTCTCCAATATCCTGATTTAAATATTTAAAACTCAATATCAGGTAGATGTGCCAAATAGTTTTGTTTTGCAGTCTAAAGATCTGCTAATTATCATATTTATTTGTTTATTCATTTTTAATTTGAATACATGTTACCTTGAATACAGCTTCTGTTAATGTCCTGTTGCCATAATTTTTATATTTTTTAAAGTGGCACTGCTAATAATGATTATGTTGTACAGTAATCCTCTTGATTGATTATATTTTAATCTCAATGGGGATTAGACAATTAACAATGTTAATTTAAACTGCTTAGTTTTGGATATAAAAAAACTGATACATAAACTTTCCCTATTGTGTATAGAAAACATAGGTTTAGTCAATGTTAATCTGTTGTGGTTATAATTTTGTTCAATTCTTATTGGAAAAAATTGTAAAATATATTTTTTGGTGGAGGCAACCTCAGGACCTTTTCTTTTGTCTTTCATTTTTGTCAATATAGTTGGTTCCCATTTATTTTTGTCTACATACTTGTTACCAAACGTTGAGTATTATGTTTCAAGTACCCACAACATTGTCTTGTATTTATTAACAGTTAATTTTTTGATGACCAGCTATTTGGTTATAATGGGGAATAAAAAAAAAAAAGTATCATAATTAAATTTTTTTAGAAACAATTATTCAATAGAAAATATAAATTACTCAGTTTTAATTGTTTCTATTTTTATATTAAATTATAAATATCAAACGTTAAGGCAATTGAACTTAGGATCCTGTTTAGAATCATACTGCATAATTACCCAAGCAGAATATGCCATATAAACGAATAAATTTGAAGAAAAAAATTGTTTGTTTTTCAGTATCAGAGCCTACTAATTTCTGTTTTTATCAAATTAAAAAACCCAAGATTTATACTAACTTTGGAATTCTTGGTATATACATATAAATCAACTGTGGGTATTTAAAATCTTTAGCAGATAATAGAGTATAATCAGAAAACTAGAACACAATACAGTATTATTGTATCAATAAAACTGGTATTGTTTGTTTATTATTACATAGTTACAATGAATCTGCATATAAAATCTTTTACAAATATTTCATTAAAAATTACTGTAAGGCTTAGAATTCTTGTATTCGTGGAACATTACAACAAAAAAAGAAAACACTAACAGGGTTCAGCATTTTATTTCTTGCTTAGATGAATGAATGTAACATTTTCACGAGAAAATATAGCTGTGTGATCTTTATGTAAATAATAAGACAATTTTCTTAAGTGTGTTTGTCCCTTTCATTATGTAAATTACTAACTAGTAGATAGGTACTGTACTCTGTAGTTAATTTCATTTTTTATAATATACATATTTTCTGTAGACCAGTAGTTTATATTGTTATATGTTTGTCCAGTTTAACATATTGACTTTTATTAAGATATCCTGTACAGTATTCCGCTACTCTTATGAGGGAAGACATTCTTAGTTTCAGTTTGTGTAATCTATAGAATAAAAGCTTGTCAAACATTGCTTTGTTAACATTGTATTTATCATTTCATTGGCATAAGGTTTTTGTTTCTTTATAATTTGATGTTGCATAACATTAGTCTTAATATAAATTGATATTAAAAAATCACCTACAAACTCACCATAAACTTTCTGTACTGGGTAATCTTGTGTACTGATTTATCTGGCATGTTCTCGCGTACCGATAGTGACTGATCACTTACCGGAAGGTACATACTGTAGTCACTTAGGTTGTACTCTATGTTCTCGCATACTAAAATGGTACATTATCACTTTGTGAAGTGGTATGCTGTTGCTTATCAGAAAGGAGAGTGATCACTCATGGCAGTGGTATGATTTTGCTTACCTGAATGGTATGTGATCAATCACTGTAGTGGTATGTTTTTGCTAACTGACAGTGCATATTCACATAACCAAGTACAGTAGTATAAGTTTACCAACAAAACATGTTTAAATAAAAACTGGTAGTGATATAGGACTGTACCTGTAGTCTTGCTTACTAACAGCAAGTGCTGTAGTATTTCTTCTAATACTAATAGTAAACCTATAGATTATTATGTGCGATGTGCTTATGTTGAGTGCTCCTATGATATTATGTAGTCCATGCGCATATTTTTGCATAAATACTGGTAAGCACACTCAATGTATCAAACATACTTCAGCTCAACTGGAAGAAGAGTGATCTTTGAAATTGTGCCAAACCAAATTTCATTTGCATATCAGGTTTTTGTACTGCCTAAGTTTTTAGATGCTTTCGAATGCTTATGATTGAGTAAAGCTGTTTTTTTGTAGATCAGTTGTGGTCAAATCCAAGCTCATCATTGAAGATATTCTTAGATGAACCACTGTACCATCATATTTTTTTTTCAGATTTTTTTTATGGACTCTTGATTGACTCCAAATTCATCAATGCTTTTCAATGTTTAAAATATACTGTATTAAGATACCCTGTACATGTAAGCATATACAGTATAACAACAGGTTAAGACTGACCCTTTATAATAAAATTTTTCCCTGACAAAATTGTATAGCAAATTACACTGACAGAACACTAATATAATTTTTTTACTATTTTCTGTGATGTTCCTAAGATATAATGTATTTATTGAGCTAATATAAACTTTAAGTACAAAATAGCATAATTTACATATTTAAGCAAGTTAATAGTTTTCAATACAATTATCAATATTCCCTCACTGATTTTATCAGACATATCTTGTTGCTAAATGATTTTAAGCAAACACTTAATGTCATTAATATTCTTCTGAAATTTGAGCTTTTACATTCTAACCTTATAAACCTAGACAATTATGGACACCTCTAAATATGAAGCTTAAGAGGTAAATTGCTTCCTATTCTCATATGGATTATTCTGTGATTATTTAGTAAATAATTTTCTAATTAGATTTGTTGCATAAACTTAATATACACAAATAAATAAATAATAATAACAGTGCTAAAACAGCAGTTATTATTATTTATCTATTTGTGATTTCATCTTGAAATCTGTAGTAGTTTCTTTTACTCAGGAATCCCATTGTATTATTGTTATTATATTATTATACTAATAAATATTTATTATTGGGTTCAGGATTACTATACTATTGAAAACATGTTTTATTACTTTTGCCAAAACATGTTAATTGTAAAAGTTCAAAGGACTTTAAATACCACGCTTGGTGACGCTAACCCTAAATAATTTAGTAATTTCCCCTTCTTGTCAGTTTTTTAACTATCAATTCTATATGTTCCTCTTGCGACGCACTGAATCGTCTGCCACATTTGTCTCTGTACATTATGTTTATAGAATTGTGTGTTTTTATACGTTGTTTTTTACAATATTATGGGTTGGAAGCTTTCACACTTATTCAACTTTAATGTTTGCATATATAATAAATAGATGGTCTTACAACTGTGGCCTTGTGAGTTTTCTTCTCGTAGTTTATTGGTACGCATGCGCTGAAATGTACAGTACACTGACAGCTGCAAATCATACTGGACAATGCATACTCGCTCGCAAAATAAGTTGACAGCTGTATTATAACAATTTTCAAGAGCGTAATTTTCTTTCTACAAACATTTCCAATGACAGTTGCGTACCTACAGAGTGCGGGTATACATCTGCCACAAGGAATGAACAAGTTCAAATTATTTCTAAATTTTTAAAGAACTGACATGCTGGATCCAAGTAGGAGTTTACCTACTATTTAAGAATGCCTAAGTGGACCAGGGGCCGGATTTATCAAACTAGAAATCAGCTTAACACGTTGACTGCCAGACCTTTTTTTACGGTTCCTTCCCGTATGCCAAAACAAGTTTACATGTACAAACATGCTTTTTTGAAATTTTATCTAGTCATTTGTCATCAAAATGAAGTGTCTAATAAATTGGCGGGAAAATATTAGGGGGCGAGTATACTCGTCGATGGCACTGTGATAGAACTTTTTACTGACTATGCCAAGTGCGAGTTATCTCGTCCGCTTTTTGCATGGGTTGGCGCTCCCACTTGTACCGCTTGTGTGTACTACCGGCAATATAACACAACAAACATACATAATCATTTGTTTGTATGTTATCATCTACGTGTATCTTCCCTGAACTACCAGCCGTTGAGTCTGCGGTTCTACAATGTATAATAAAGAAGAATGCTAGAATGTTCCCCAGATTTTGACAATTATACAAGTTCCTGGCACCCTCAGCAACACCCTAA